TCATCAAGCTTGTCGGTTTTCCCGAACGTGGCTCCGCCCACGATAAACGCAACGCAGAAGGCGGACGATCGACAGCTTAGGCTGCTGGGTTGGGTTCGATGTCAGAGGGGAGGAAGCTTTGCTATTGGCACTAGTAGCTTGCTAGTTGGAATTGGCCGAGCGCAACGAAGCCGTCCTCAAAGTCGATGGGAATGGTGGTCGTTAGACCTGCGTGACGAGCTTGTGCTCGGACGTGGTGGAGAATTGCTCGTCCCACGCCAACCGTTGCTCCTCCAATCGGACCAGACCGCTCGTATCGCACCTGCAAGATCGTCGCTGCAGAGACAGCGAACAAACATGCCATCACTAGAGATGACTTCGTTCGACGATGCGCTCTCCTTCTCGCGCCTGCATCCGATTCACGGTTTTGCAGCAACACAACGCCAAGAATCAGCTCTGTTATTTGGATTTGGCGGCTCTGTTGGATATTTCCGTGTCAAATCATTCTCAACATAGTCAGGAACTGGCACCTTTATTTCATGTATATACAATCCCAAAGTGAGATTGCATTGTGACTCGAAGGAACGGGCACTTTGCGCTGTATTCTACTATCACAATCCCACAGCAACTCCGCCCACATCGAAAGCGCAAGCTTGACAAATTTGATACGGGTGGTTGATTGGGTTGTTTGCGTAGTCTTCCACAGGTTCGGTGGGGTGGTGAGAGCGGCTGTTGGATGTCGACCGGTGATCTGGGGTAGGGGTCGCTCGGGGATCTCAAGTTGCAATCAAGGGTTCAAGATCACCGTTTGATTGTTTTGACCTCTGTGCTCGCTGTGTGGACTCCGGACCGGGTCCATTTGTCCCGAAACCCCCCCACCCCCCCCCACCCACCCACTTGGGGGGCGGGGCTAAATTACTCCCCATCTTGTGACCTGGGCGACAGATTCATGATGGACGTCGTCGGCGATTTGTGGGGAGAGCTGAGTCTGTTTTCGCTCCAACCAATGGTGCCGTCGAGTAAGTTGGAGAAGACCTGGAATTCGGCAGGAGGTCGGACCGTAGCTCGGAGCAACCTCATTTTTTTATCCATTGAATTTGTTAGACCACAACATTTTTTGGAGTTGAGTGAAACTGAAGGTAATTTAAGTGTAGGGATTTGATCGTTTCAGAGGCGCGCATGTGTTATCGATCGATCAACAGCATCATTACGCATGGACACCGCGAGAGGAAGATCAAGGATCTCCGGTCCGGATACCCATTTCGTCTTTCTCCCCTATTCCAAATTCCATCGAACGGATTGCGAGAGTTGTCCAGAGGCATAACCCTCAAACGGCTCAATACATGATCTGGCCAATAGCGCTACGAAGAAGAAGATGCGAGATCGAGACTGTGAGCTCCAGATCAACAGATCTGCTCGGGACCAGGGCTCACACAAGGGTTCTTTCGAGGGAGACGGTCTAACGGCAAACTCTCTCAAAAGAATTCAGCGCGTGGTTGATGTCCGGTCATCTTTTCCAGACAGAACTGCTGTGAGGGAGGGATGGCGATGTTTTGGGGGGACTAACTCAGCTGTGTTCTGGTCTCGTGCGGCCAGTTGATGGGAGCACGACCATGTTTCATGACTCGAAGAAAATCACTCTTGGGAATACAGCAATGATCTGCTGCATTCTGCGTCATGAAGCGCCATCAAAGAAAAGAGCACAGAATGATGATCATCTGCCTGTGTATGTCTTTCTCTCTACACTCGGGTGCTAGTCATTGCAATTCAAAGATTATGCCGATTGTAGAGGAGGATTACCGGCAAATTCACCTTTCTCTTTTGAATTTGGACCATGCATTTGCAAATGATTTTTCGAGAGACTGACACGCTCTTGCAGCTCCAAATTGGGAGGAAGTGTCAGGAAACCAAAAGATGAACACAAGTCTGCCTGGCTGAACTGTGTCACTTTCCTGTCAGCTGTCTTCTTGCTGTGTTTGGGCCCCATAGCGTAGAGTTGCAACGTTTGCGATCGGCTTTCCCACTCTGGCTCTCTTTCTCCCTGTGCCTCTGTGCATTGACCCGCAAATCGATCTCGGCGGACGGAACCGACACGCTCTCACGCTTGTCTCTCCGTGTGAGTGAGTTCGCCCGTGCACTCAGCCTCAACTCAACCTCAACCTTGATGCTTGGCTCCACTTTGGCAAAGTCACCCTCTCTTTCTGCTCTCTGAGCCCCCGTCAGCGGTCCGCGTTCTTCCCAATCCCCCCACCCACTACTTCAAACCATCTTGCCCGTATTCGCTATCCAAAGCCTTCCTCCTCCTTCCCCTTATCTCCCCCTCAATTAGTTGCAAGGATACTGTCTTCAGCACGAGCCCGTATCACCTCCCTGACCGCCCAGCTTAGCACCAAAATGTCGTCTCAAGCTGTGTAAGTTTTCGCTATCTGCGCTGTACAGGTCATGTTGCACACCACGTGGCTCGCCATCAAGCACGAGTGATAGCGACAAACAATATGACATTGTTCACTGACATTTCGCGCATCACCGCGATTTTCTTGCTTCTCTGCATTCACTTGTTGACAGCGCCGATATCGGCCTCATCGGCCTTGCCGTCATGGGTCAGAACTTGATCCTTAACATGAACGGTACGTCCCGAACAGCTCAGATTTCCAGAGTTTGCAAATATTTACCAGCACTGCGCAGCGAATCGTGTCTCATGATGAGAATTTTGACACTGACTCTCAGCATTTTCCTCCTTCCCGCACTCGCTCGTCTGAAACTCACAGACAAGGGATTCACCGTCTGCGCCTACAACCGTACCACCTCCAAGGTCGATGACTTCCTCAACAACGAGGCTAAGGGTAAGTGCTTGCTTTTGCTTCCTTTTTCTATCTTTCTGGGAGCTCTTACGCTTCTCGATGCGGCGTTCTCTGGCGACGGATTTTAAGATCTGTACGTTTGAACGTTGCAGAGGCTCAAGAAACCCGATCACGAACGCAGCACAAAAGAGCCAATTTCTGACTCATCTGCTCTTGTCTCCCCTCCTTCCGTCCTGAATTCGAAACTTTGCGATCTCTTGGGCTACCACGACAAATCGGACTCTTTGGCTTCATGAACCTGATTGTGAACTTGTGCTCACTCACATTGCAACAGGCACCAACGTCGTTGGCGCCAAGTCCATCGAGGAGTTTGTTGCCAAGCTCAAGCGCCCCCGTAAGATGATCCTCCTCGTCAAGGCTGGTCCCGCCGTTGATGCTTTCATCGATCAGCTCCTCCCCCATCTCGAGGAGGGTGACATCGTCATTGACGGTGGCAACTCGCACTACCCCGACTCCATCCGTCGCTGCAAGGAGCTCGAGGCCAAGGGAATCCTCTTTGTCGGTTCCGGTGTCTCCGGCGGTGAGGAGGGTGCCCGTCACGGTCCCTCTCTCATGCCCGGTGGTTCCGACGCCGCCTGGCCCCACATCAAGGAGATCTTCCAGAAGACTGCTGCTCAGTCCGATGGCGAGCCCTGCTGTGACTGGGTCGGCCAGACCGGTGCCGGCCACTACGTCAAGATGGTCCACAACGGTATCGAGTACGGTGACATGCAGCTCATCTGCGAGGCCTACGACATTCTCAAGCACGGTCTTGGCCTCAAGGAGACCGAGATCGGTGACATTTTCACCAAGTGGAACACTGGTGTCCTCGACTCGTTCCTCATCGAGATCACCCGTGACATTCTCAAGTACAACGACGAGGACGGAACCCCCTTGCTCACCAAGATCCTCGACTCTGCCGGACAGAAAGGTACTGGAAAGTGGACCGCCATCAACGCCCTCGACCTTGGCCAGCCCGTCACCCTTATCGGCGAGGCCGTCTTCGCCCGGTGCCTTTCTTCGCTCAAGGGCGAGCGTACCCGCGCCTCCAAAATCCTCGGCGGCCCTCAGATCAAGCCCTTCGAGGGCAACAAGGAGCAATTTATCGCTGACCTCGAGCAGGCTCTTTACGCTTCCAAGATTGTCTCATACGCCCAGGGTTTCATGCTTATGCGCGAGGCTGCCAAGGAGTACGACTGGAAGCTCAACAACCCTTCCATCGCTCTCATGTGGCGCGGCGGATGCATCATCCGATCCGTCTTCTTGAAGGACATCACCGCTGCTTTCCGCAAGAACCCCGAGTTGGAGAACCTCTTGTTCGACGACTTCTTCAACAAGGCCATCCACAACGCTCAGGAGGGCTGGCGTCGCGTGGTGGCTCAGGCCATCCTCTGGGGTATCCCTACCCCTGCCTTCTCAACCGCTCTTGCCTTCTTTGACGGTTACCGTCGCGAGCAGCTCCCAGCCAACCTTCTCCAGGCTCAGCGTGACTACTTTGGTGCTCACACTTTCCGCATTCTTCCTCAGTACGCTAGCGCCAAGCTCCCCGAGGGCCAGGACATCCACATCAACTGGACCGGCCGTGGTGGTAATGTCTCTGCTTCCACCTACCAGGCATAAGCTGTCACACTGGTGGAATAGGAAGCGGATGTTGCTATCGTGAAATATGTCCCATGACTCCTTGCTTTGTCCAAGAAAGGTTTTTTTTTCGACTGTACTCATTATCCCAACCCCCAAAAATCTCTCTTTACCCATATGCTCGCTTTTCGAATATGACCAAAATGATAATCCCAAATGATGTAGATGATGGGAAGTGTACGACGATATCAAGTCACACCATTTCGTGTATGAAGCCGGCAAATGGTCTTGGATGATTGAGCTTGATACTTACCAAGGTGCGTCAGCTTCGGAAAAGTCTGCATCGGAGTCTCGTGTCTCGTATGGATACCATCGCTGCGGCTGAATGCTTTGTCGTGTGGTCGTTGGACAGCACATCTAGCTTATGCGAGGACGGGATGTTTGGTTGTCACGGTGAGTTTGCCGGGTGACTGGAGTTATACGCAGCGAATCCACAAGATGATACAAAAAAGCGAGGGTTAAATTAATCGTCTACACACAAAGATTGAAGCAAAAAAAAAAACAAGATATAAATAAACCCCAAACAAAACATTAAAACATCAATGCTGCTTGCAGGGATCGAACCTGCGACCTCCTGCGCACACATTCCTTGAGCAGGTGGTATGATTGTAAAGCAGAAGCTCTAACCACTGAGCTAAAGCAGCACGGTGCAATGTGATGCAGGCGTAGTAACATATATTCTATTCCAATTGACATAGGGACGTTTGCGAAGGCGGAACAGTAATGATGATGTTTTGAGGGGGAAATAAACCATGATTTTTGGCAGAAGAGGTCATGATTGGCCTGCTGCTATCCTAAATTCCCACAGTCAAAGATGTTGCTGTTTCCATCACAGATTCTTGGTCTCCCTAGCTTGAGATTCTTGTCAAGATCTCTGTCATGAAAGGGTAAAAACCATGGCCAAAGAGAAAGAAAAAGAGGGGCTTTTTCAAAAAATTTGGAACGTTGGTACAACAGTATTCCATTGAACCCGTGGGCTTTGACAATCGAACGCAATTTGGCATCCGCAGGATGAAGGAGGGTGCAGCATTTCAAAAAAGTGTTTGAAATGCGAAAATTCATTCGGATGGTAGAGTCAGCTAGTCAATTACAGCGATAGCTAGCGCACTTGGTATCTTAGTCAGTCAGACGGCTCTATCATTTTGTCTGCGGCTTGACGACCGCCGAATGGAATTGGCAGTCCCTCTTTCATGTTGGTCTGATTGGTGCTTGCAATCGGCCGCGGTAGCACACTCTTAGTGATGTTTTGGTAGAACGCAGTCTGTTTTTGTGCATCTTACCCTGTGAAAACGAATCACGATCACGCGCAGATAGGGCTCACACCCCTACTCCTATCGCGTTCCAGCACATCCAATGTGCTGGTTTCAATCACGATGGGTAGGCCTGACGTGAGCCGATATGTCGCTCAGGACTCCAACAGCTTGGACTGGAGGCGGGACGCATGGCGGAGATCGATGGGCAAGGCTGAATAGTAAAAAAATCGACTCCATCCTTGTCTGGTCGAGAGGAAAATCGATTTTCTTAAGAGGGGAGTCGACCTCGGCTGCCAAAAAAATCGATTTTTTCGACGACCTGTTCTTCCATTTGGTTGATGGTACATCACGTGAGGAGACAAAAAAATCGATTCTAAGACGCATCGCATGCACCGATTCTTAGTTAACCTTAGCTTCTCGTGGCTCATACCGCGTCTTAGCCGACGCGGCGAATTAAGTCCGAAGTTCAGACTGAGATCTCAATTTAGCTTTCAGATCGAGCCCGATTCCGCACATACACTCCTTCCAACTCTGAGCTTGACGGCCGTAATCTCGGCATTGCTGTTTCGTCAACTCGCTATCCATTGAGCTCCTCACCATTTGCGCCGTTTTGTAGGCTTTATCGGTCAAAGCAGATGCCATCAAGGACTTTTAGAGAGAGGATGACTCCAGATTCCGTTTGCCGGTCCGTCAAGTCGCAGGAGGTTCGTATGCAGCTTCATTGAGTGGCGTATCGGTCAAGTTGCGGCGAGTGGTCAACAAACGATTGGAAATTGGTCGATAAGCGCTTTGTCTCGTTAACCTTTTTCTGGTCTCTGGTTAATCGGTCTGGATACACTTACGCAATGCATCCTCATCAAGCTGAGCCTGGCGTCGTTGTTCCCAGAGCAGCTTTGCCTTGTCAACAGCGTCACGGAACGCAATCCCGCCCGACTCCATGAACCAAAGCTTGAGCTTTCCCACGGGATGGTACTCGTCCCCAGGCTGACGCTCCGGTAGGCCGCCTTGTGGCACCGAGTAGATGTCAGCTTGAAGATAAGGCGCTGCGAAAATGGGAATCGTGTACTTGCTTGCTTGCATGTGGTCGATAGGAACAGAGAGGGAATTCACAGCGGCATCATCCGCAGGATTCGGTCGAGGCTGGCGGACGAAGACGAACTGAGGTGGCGCAAAAAGTACATGGGCAGGAGCAAAGAAGGTCAATCAAAGGATTCGGACCGGGTTCAGCTTTGCATAGTCAGGCTAAAGTGACAAGTACATCGTGCAGCTCAAACTTACTCGATGGGACGACACGAACGCATCTCCTTCGGCCTTGTATGTAATGCCTTGTGGTGCGTATTCGAGTCTGTGGCAGTACGTTCAAAGGTACTCAGGGATTGATACATCAGCATTCTTTTCTCTCGCTTTGTATCCAAGGGCGGTGCACAATGCACTCACTGCAAAGACGCCCTGCGAACAATGCAAAGCATTTGTTCTTCAGGCAGTGGCAACGGCTTGCGACCGCTATTATCCAGCATGACCCAATTGAGTGCCATTGTTACGATTGGTCGGTGCGCTTGTTATACAAGGCTCTCGTTGTAAGTGGTCGCTTCAGAGAGGCTCAAGAAGACGCCAGGTTCGTCCTATCCAAAAACGGAATTGTCGAATAAGACGAGAGGCGCACGTGCCAATTTGCACTCGCTTGGCGAAGGGAAGGCCCTGCTGAGCAGAGGAGCTTAGTTAGATATAAGCTAGCCGCTGATCCCTCGAGTGGACCGATATCGCTACGGCAGAGGAGATGGGCATAACGCCATGCGATAAGTGCGAGGTCAAGGAGTGTGGGCCCGTGCGGCGCGGGAAGCTTGTGCAACGAGATCGAAGTGTTCAACAGTGCCGGCTCAAGGATTTGCAGAGCTATGCAGAGTTTGGGGTGACATGCTGCAAAGTGCTTTGCGGCAACAATGTACTGAGCGTTTCCTAGGTATCATAGAATCCAGAGTCGAGCAGAGCCTGGAGCCGGCAAGTCTTGTGTTGGCGACCCTGCGCAAAACCATACAGGACAGGAGCACAGTTTGACTGCCAAGTTGACACCGACCAATCGGGCGTCAGGCTCGATGACGCTACCTGCTCGGCCCTGCACTTTTCTTTTCCCCCACAAATCCAAAGTGACAACGTCGATCCGTGAAACCCAATTTAAATTCAGCCTTCATTCGGCGCATTTCAAAAGAGGAACAGGTTTGTATTCATCTTTTGGCCTGGTCTTTCACATTCACTCAATTCAGAGAAATCTTAGCCTCGTCGTGTAGAGTTGCCGCTCATCATGACTGCAGCAGTGGCTCATACTGGCCGTACTCGGTCTTGCTCATCGTTTTCACAGCCCTTGTTCAATTAACTGCTTTTCAAGAAGCTTCCCTAGAAGGTAGAGATAGAATTGCTTGCAGGTGGAACAAAAACGTGGGGAACGTCAATCTCCTTTCCGAATGGTCTGTTGAGCTTTCAAACGCATTTGAATCATAACCTGCTCATATACGACTGGACCATATTCTGTGACGAGCTAGCATTTTTGTTCCCCCTTTCTTCCAGTTTGAAATACTCTCAAAAGTCCAACGACCTTTCCGCTCCCATCCTCGTTTGAATCCACGAGCACACTCCAACAATCCAGCCGCAGAGTCTTCATTTTGAGTACACGACTACCGTCACCCCATCGTCTCTGTTTGGCTCCCGTCGATAAGATCCTCGCACAATGGCAGCCATCGCAAAAGCAGCCGCCAGCTTGGCAGCCATCGCCTACATCGACGCCAAGCATGGCCTTGCCAACGATCTTCACCTCGGCCGTGGTGCATCTGGCGGTGAGATTGGTCACAAGATTCGATCCTTTCGCAACAAGCTCTCCCTCTACGAATACTTTGACGCTCAAGCTACGAAACGACCCAACGCCATCGCTTACGTCTATCTGGGCAAAAGCTTCACCTGGGGAGAGGTTGCCAAAGACGTTCATCGGCTTGCAAACTACCTCCTCTCTCGCGGCCTCAAGCCCGGCGACCGTGTCGCTCTCTTCATGGGCAACTCGGTCGCCATCCTGCAATGGTATTATGCGTGTATGTGCATCAACATCGTCCCCGCTTTTATCAACAACTCTTTGACCGAAAAGGGCCTTGTGCACTGTGTCTCGGTCGCACGCGCAAAGCTCTTGGTATACGAGCCATACCTCGAAGGACCCGTCAGTGACGTTCAGGACGAGCTCCTCGCCAACAGCCCCCTCGAGAACTTCCTCTGCTATAACGATGGCATCACACCGCTTGACGGCGATGCGGAGAAAGCCCCGTCTGCCGTTTCCAAGCCCCTCGCCAAGAAGATCGACTTTGGCTCCTCCGACCTCCTCAAGTACTCTGCCAAGCGCATCTCGGACAAGTACCGCAAAGACATCACAGAGTCCTCCACTGCCGCCTTGATCTACACTTCTGGCACCACCGGTCTTCCAAAAGCAGCACTCTGCTCACATGGCCGTATGGGAACTGGTGCGTCAGTCTGGCCCATTCTCAACGGCTTTTCCACAAAAGACCGTATCTACACTCCGATGCCCCTCTATCACTCTTCCGCCCTCTTCCTTTGTATCTGCGCCTCCTTGTGCTCTGGCTCCACCGTCATCATCGGCCGCAAATTCTCTGCGCGGAAGTACTGGGATGAAGTGCGGAAGTACGATGCCACCGTTGTCCAGTACATTGGTGAGATCGCACGTTACCTCCTCGCCGTGCCCCCCTCCCCCATGGACAAGCAGCACAAAGTCCGCATGGCTTATGGAAATGGAATGCGACCTGACGTATGGGCAAAGTTCAGAGAACGCTACGGTGTCCGCATCATCTCTGAATTCTTCGCTTCCTCTGAAGGTAACGGTGCCCTGCTCAACTACAATACTGGCCCGTTCGGTGCTGGTGCAGTGGGCCGCATGGGCACTCTCTCCAGCAAGCTCAAACCCGACTTCAAGATCATCCGGGTCGATGCCATCACAGAAGACATTTACCGCGACCCAAAGACGGGAATGTGTGTCGAGTGTCTGCCCAACGAGCCAGGAGAGTTTGTAATGCGCATCGGCAACAGCTCCATCTCCAAATTTCAAGGCTACGCGGACAATCCCGAGGCAACGAGCAAGAAGATTCTCAGCAATGCGCTCAAGAAGGGGGATGCCTGGTTCAGGAGTGGCGATCTCATGTCCAAAGATCAGGACGGATTCTTCTACTTTGGTGATAGGATGGGCGACACTTTCAGATGGAGGAGTGAAAATGTCTCGACCACCGAGGTGTCGAATGCTCTCGGCCAGGTGGTAGGTGAGGCCAACGTGTATGGTGTCTTGGTGCCCAAGCACGACGGTAGGGCAGGATGTGCCGCTATTCCTGCTGAATGTACTGTCGGGT